GAAGAAACATCAGAATGGGGTGAATTAATGAGGAATTCTGAAGTGACCTCCGATGAAGAAGTGGTGGAATTCATGATCAACGGCTAGATTTAGGGTAAAAAAAGAAAAAAAAATCGACTAGATTTAGGTGAAGGATCGGTCACCTAGCTCTGATACCATGTTGAAAATAAGGCTAATGTAAAGTGAAGTAAAAGGAATTGGGTGATGAAATAAATTAAATGACAAAGGTAAGAAAAAGTGAAAAACTTCACTGTCGTATATTCAAGTAACAATAGATTACAAGTTTAATATGTATATATAGCAGGTGAGAACAAGTATTTAATTTAAACTAAACTACTTAGTAGTTATCCTTATCTAACTTTCTAAGAGTTAATTTAAACTAAACTACTTAGTAGTTATCTTTATCTAACTTTCTAAGAGTTAGTGTTATATTAAAATACTAATTAATTATCCTTATCTATCGAGTAACCTACACTAAGATTACACTCATTATGGAAAACTTCACGACCGAGCTGAAGGTATGCATGAAATCTTGTCGAGGCACCTAGGAGTAGCCTTTGGCTACAAGCCTAGCTTTATAGAGATGAATGGATTCACATGTTCTTTTTTTTAACTTAAACAACCATCTGCAGACAACCATACTCCGCCCTTTAGGTAGTTCAACCAGATTCCAAGTGTTATTTTGTTGTAACACAGTAAACTTCTCATTAACTGCTCCTACCCACTTCACAGATTGAAAAACTTCTCCAATCGTAGCAGGAACTAGAGTATCTAAGAAACTCGTGTACACCTTAGGTCGAAACATCCCACATTTGCTTCGAGTCAACATAAGATAAAAATTGATCACTAGATCAACTGACTATTCAATAGGCAATGCGCTCGTACTATCAGCCCCACCAACCCTAGTAATTGCCTCATCACATCGAGTTGAACCTTGATTAGTTGTACAGCCTACACCTATTTCACTACATGTCCGCACAGTAGATGAACTAGCTGAAGTAAGAATAGGACTCCCACTTTTACAGGCATTAACTAGAATAATTGTGGATATATGGGTACAATCTACATGTAGGAATAGAACCCGGTTCAAATATTGAGAGGGACAAAGTATTTAATTTCAAAATAATAAAGACTTATCTATTTAATCTAAAAATTGGTTGGGGCAAAAGTTTAATTTTACTTAAATTTGAACTGATAAAGACCTAAAATGTTATTAAGCCAAAAATTTCGGGAAGGGTTTGCCCCTCCCACATCCTATATAGATTCGTCCCTAATTGTATCATTATCAAACAACCTCAAGTGACCTACACGGCATCTTTGATGCAAATCCCTATGTAACATTGGCCTTATCAGGAAACAGAAAATTTCACTCATCGAACACATCATGCCTGGAAAAGAACACAGGTCCAACAGTACTGAGACATTAAAAACCCTATGCTGCGGACTAACCCTTAGGAATGTGCATGGTTAAGACATAAAATCCAACTTATGGCTATTATATGACCGCAAATGAGGACAGCACTTACAACCAAAGACCTTGAACATATTGTAATTAGGCTTATTCTCAAACAACCTTTCAAACGACGAGCTACCCTACAGGACCTTTGTTAGTAGCCTCTTAGTGAGATAGACTGCCATAACCACCGTATAGGCCCAAAATCAAGCAGGCATCGACGCTTGAGCAAGAAATACAAGAGACAATTCTATAATATGCATGTGTTTCCTTTTCCACAATCTCATTATGTTCAGATGTGTGTTGGCTGATAAGTCTTATCAAACCTGTACCAGTAACTAGTAACAAGATACTCGTTCTTGCCACAAAGATGGCACTGAATACGAGGGCATCCACGACCTTGCCCACTGACTCAGTCACCAGAATCTTGACGAGAATATTGTAGATCATGATATCCAGATTGAGCTCTAGTCCATTTATGTCTAAGATTCCCATGAGCAAGATGAGCACTCATAGGCAACAATTCTTCTTGAGCATCAAAGCCAGCTAACTGGGTCTCAGTATCAATTAGTATACAATAAACACTGTCAAGAGATAAAGAATATCTCATTGTGATTATAACTGTCATGAAAGATTGATATTACCTAGGCATACCCTTCAAAATAGTAACAACATGTTCAGCTTGAGGAATTGCACTACCACATGAAGTTAAAGCATCGCAAACTTCCTTTATACGAGTAAGATAAACTCTCATGCTATCATTAGCTTTTTTAAGAGACTATAGTTTGTAGTGCAGGTTCATGACTACAGTTGCAGAAATATTCACAAAGAACTGTTGCATAGTACTCCACACATCCGCAACAGTTTCGGCTCCAACAAACTGAGACAAAAGATGAGAGTTGATTGTTGATACTAGCTAAGACGCAAGAGCATTGTCCTGAGTTACATATTCTTCATACAACTCATTGTGAATCGAAGCAACACTTTCATCAACTACGGTTTCAAGCGGAGGTTGCAACTGCCCTGTCAGTAGGGCCAACCCTGGGCCAGGGCAGGAGTGGCTCTTGCCTAGAGCCCACAAATTAATTTTTTTTAAGTATAATATTTTTTATTTTCTGATAATAAATTAAAAAATTATAAAACAAAATAAGGTAATCTATGCATTTAGCGCCTAAACTATTAGTTTTGATATGTTTTAGTACCTAAACTTTTAATTTTTTCAAAATCATATCTAATATTTAGTTTTCATTTTATTTTAGTGCCTCGCCATTAAAAACTTAATGTGTTTAGTACCTTAACTATCAAATTTAGTTTGTTTTAGTACCTAAAATTTCAAAAAAATTAAAACTTAATGTTAAATTTTGAATGGGTAATAAAATAAAATAAAAAAACTAAACCTTAGGAATGATTTTGAAAACAAATTGAAAGTTTAGGTACTAAAACTAATAGTTTATGCACTAAATACGTAATTTACCCAATAAAATAATGAGGCCCATGAATTTATTAAGGTGTCAATTGTCATTATTGAATTTTATATTAATGTTAATAATATATTCTTCTATAAAATTCTAATTCAATATTTCTTCCCCAAAATTTAAAAAAAATGAATCTCTTTAATTTTGGTCCTTCTAAATTCCCACCATCAATTCACCAAATATCTTTCCCGATTTTTCATATCAATGAACAAATTTATTAACGTTATTTTTTTCTTCAAAACTTAATGAGAGGGAAAAAATAAGTATAATTAGCTTGTTTCTTTTCTTTCATGTTTCACGATTCTTCTGAAAATTATTATTCTCATTTTTAATTTATCATATTTCTCTCACACGTAAAGTCACATTTGTTTATCATCAATTGTGGTGCTTGAATCATATTGAAGATTGTTCTTAAAATTCTAGGTAGATCATGTTTTCAAATTCTTTCTTTTAATTTTTATATATTTTCAAATTTTATATAAGATAGTTCTTTCATTTTCAAATGTTATGTTATGTATTGAGAAAAATATGTTGGAAAGTATTAATGTTGATACTATCATAAATGGTTTTGCATCAAAAAATGATCGAATGTATTATTTTTATAAGTATTTATATTCTTAAATATATTTTTGACATCTTTTATATTATAATGAATAATTATTTTTTAATTTAATAAAAGAATTAATAAAATTTTTATATTACATATTTTTTAAATTTTTTTATATTGGGGCATTTTTTATTTTCGCCCGAGCCTAGAAATAGTCAGACCCTGCCTGTCGGCATGTGTTCCAGACGATGACCGCAAACTTTAAGTAACATGTACTACTTCTATAGCAGGAAATTCATGTCGTCAAGCACAATATTAACCTTTTTGTTTGTGAAGGACTTGCCAGTGTTGACCGAAAACTCCATTGCAAAACAGCACGAACAAGAACCAAGCAACAAAAGCGAAAACCCTCAAGATCTTGAAGCGAAAGATACCATATTGGATTTTAACAGAATACAAGAAATAAATGAATTATTGAATTCAAGTCGAGTATTTGATTACACAAGAGTACAGTTTTTATAACTCTACTGCTGCACAGTTAGGCATAACAGAAATCTAACAACTTCTTAGCTGCAAGCTCAACAACTTACCTTAGCTGAAAAGGTCACGTGCACAGTACATAATATTCAACATAGAACAACCATAAATGTTTTATGTCTTATGCTTGACACGGCTCCTTGCCTTGCAATATAACCAAAACCTCAGTCATGTTGCCCTTTTTCTTTGAAATGCAATAGTAAAATTGGAAAGTTTATCGCACCAGTATGAGCATAGACATGCCTTACTTGAAAGTCGTTGCCCACTCAATGCAATTCTACTCCACTTCAATCTAAGGAATCAATATTGTAGGTCAATAAATTACCCAAACTAAAAGCTAAAAAACACATAAAATAAGATCTCATTTCAATATACACACCATTTTCACTTTGAAATCATGAAAACATAATTTATGTTAAGGCTTACATTCATGTTCTTGTTACAAAAGATGATATAGCAATGACATTACACCTTCCATCACATGATATAAGTTAAGGCTTTTCTGCTTTCAGTTTGTTTTGTTAATGATAGACAGTGACAAGTGCAGCTTAGAAGAAATTATAGTTTCAAGCATTAAGGAGGAATTAAGTTTCGAACATTAAATGGTTTTGAGCGATGTATCCTACGATATAACAGACATTCTTAATCTTAAGATGATGTACGTAGTTGGATTTAGTTATTGTGGATAGCAAATTTCCTTGTGAATCACCAACTGAACAATGCAGACTATATTCCAACATCTCAATCACGAACTTAAAGTTGTTGATCTTATCTTATGGCCATGGAAAAGTATAGCAAATGTAAGCTTAGGTGTTGGGTTGTGTCCTCCGAATACCCGATTCAAAGCCCATTGCTAAATTGTAATACCAGAAGTAGCAAAAAGTTAATAGGTTTTAAGCGTATGATTGCAAGTTCAGTAAATCCAGAACCTCGTGTGCCCAAGTGATTAGACTATCACCATGCGATGGAAAATGGCAAATACAAGTTCCGCACGAACTTTCCAGATCCAGTGTCTCATGAAACATTGAAATTTAACTGCTTGAATTGTGGATGTATCTGTGTTTCTTTACACCTACATTAACTCTGTCTTCCTCATCTAGATTTAGGATATATAGCTTCAATTCCACCCATGAATGGCCTTAATGGCTTTGGAATAATAACCGACCCATCTTCTTGCTGAAAATTCTCCAGCAAACATACAAGCATCCTCGGAACTGCACACGCTGTTGCGTTTAATGTATGAACAAACTTGGGAGTAGCCTGGTTTGTTTTGCCCTTTTTGGAAGTTGTGGGTGATTCCGATGGACGATAACGAATGCCAAGTCTGCGGCTTTGATAGTCGGTGCAATTCGATGCACTTGATATCTGTTAGCAGAAATGTGTTACACTTATACCTAAGATTAAAAGAATATTTCCTATCCCAAAAGAAAAAAAAAAGATTCAAATATATTTCAAAATACTCAGCAAACAGAATTGTTTCATATTTCAAGGGATATTATTTCAAAAGCGAAAGAAGTCACCATGGAAATTTAACTTGTCATAGGGAAGCAAAAGGATATTTTAATACCTCGCCATAGCGTCCTAAACCTGGCATCCATGCCTCCACATCAAATTTTCGATAAGCAGGAGCACCCAGGTCCCCTGTGGCCATATCCAAAGTTCTGCCAAGAAAGCAAAATAGTGTCACTAATGGCAGAACAAAACCAGTAGAATTAGTAAAAGGCTAATGAGAATCCATACTTATAATGCAATCCTAGAGATGAAAAGAGGTCTTCTTCAATTTTAATAAGCTCATCGTGGTACATATCACTTTCTTCTTGTTTGCACAAAATAAACATTTCCACCTTGCTGAATTGGTGTACCCTATAAAGACCCCTGGAAAACATTTCTTCACCATTAGTCAAATACAGGGACTACATAGTCAGTGATGGTAAAATACAAATGGAACACAAGATAGCTAATCACCTCGTTGCTGTACCAGCAGCACCAGCCTCGGTACGAAAACAATGAGAAAATGCCACATATTTTAATGGTAAAGAGGACTCCGAAACAATTGAGTCCATATGAATACCCCCTACAGGAATCTCTGCAGTGCCAATTAGGCACTGGTCACTATCCTCAATGGAATAAACCTGTTTAGCATTTGAAATAAGTATCAAGAAAGTGCTGTGAAATTCACAATTTTGAAAGAGTTACTTCGGAGAAATTAAGTATTCTAATATTAGAACATATGAAAGGGAAGATTTGGAAAGTTCAATAAAAAGTTTAGTAGCCCCAATTCAAGCTGAATCCGAGCAATTTGTCCAGTTCATGATCAAAGTGGTTCATTATGTTTGTCATCAGTTTTGATAGTGATTTGTGCCAAAATGATAGGCACTTGATATTTGATACAGAAAGCACCACTTATTTTTCTGGAAAAGGGACTACATCCAAAGTAATCCAAACCTGCGTATTTTCTCCACGAGGCTGGAAGCCACATTTTTCAACAACAGATGACCTGACAATTTCAGGTGTTGTTAGTGGTGTAAAGCTCTTTTTCATGACTTCTGTCAGTGTCCAGTTGACAAGGGCGATTTCCAGCATCACTGCTTCATTCTTGAGGTAATAAAATTTTGAACCACTTACCTATGCAACAGGAAGTATAAATAAACCTTAGTACCTTCGTCATTTGGAAGTCAAAGATGCTTGAAGCATGCAATTTAATATATGATTCCATTTGATAAAAAGTAACAAAAACTTTTTAATATAGCAAGGTTCCATATAAGTTGTACAGTTTAGAAACTCCAGTAACACATTATATTTAATATTTCAATGCAAGACACAAATTTCAAGCGGCAACTCATTTAAGTATCAAGATTATCTACTTGATAATAGTGCAGTCATAAACTGCACAAGGATCATATTGGCTGAATTACTGAAAGGTAATGAATCAACTAAAGAACACAGTTAAAGAACCAAATGTAACTTAAATCACCGATAAAAATCCTTAATAAAACACAAATAAATTAGAGATGCTTTAATTCCCTGGACCAAACAGGAATACCTCAGCAGCAGCATCAAAATCAAAGAGATCCAGTTCCTTTCCAATTTGAAGGTGATCCTTGACAGGGAAGTCGAAGCTAAGGGGGCTTCCAACCTAGAATAATACTAACTGAACATCAAAGTTCAATGCAAACACTAGAAAAATAACATATAATGACTAAAAACACAAGAAACCTATCAAATCAATATATACCACATTCCTCAACTTTGAACTATCTTCCCCTCCAATTGGAACATCCGGGTGAGTCATATTTGGTATACATTGCGCTTCAAGCTGAAGCTCATCTCTTAAATTGATAAGATCTTCTTCCAAAGTCGTTAGTCCTTCCTTCAGATTCTTTCCTGACTCACAAAACCACAAAAGAAAAAGAAAATCAACATAAAAGAAAAAGGCAACGAGACCACAAAAATGACAGCAAGTAACAGCAAAACATTTGAGTAAATACCTTCTTCAACGAGCTTTTGACGCTCAGAAGGTTCCAATTTGCCTTTCATCTTGTTCGCAACATTATTCCTTTCCCCTCGAAGCCGCTCAACTTCCTGCAATCTGTCACTGCCAATTAACTAACCGATTTGAATTTAAAGAAAGGACCTCCCTTTCAATTTATAGGACTAATTTTGAATATTCGTGAAGCAGAAAACGAAAAAGGAAATAACCTTTTGGATATTCAACATTTTATCATAAAGTTCAAGCACAAGCTCCAACTTTGCATTTGAATTCCTATTCTTAATATTATTAGCAACCGCTTCCTTATTATCCCTTATCCACTTGAAATCTATCGCCGCCTTCCATTGCGGCTTTACAACTACAAAGAAAAATATGAAAATATCAACAGTAGTAACATTTTAAAAATAATAATTGTAATGTAACATAAATACCTTTATTATCAGAGATTTCAGCCGCTGGAGCAGCAGCCACGGCCTGAGCTGAAAGGGCTCTAATGAGAACAGAAAAGGGAGGTGCTTTAGGAGGGGTGTGGCGGGAAAATAAAGCGAGGTTTAGGGTTTGTGGAGTTGTTCGGAAGATAAAGCGTGAGGACGAAGGTGAGATTGGAATCGTCGCCATTTTTAGGGATTGGATTGTCGCCCCGCTTAAACGACACTGTAACGCCATACCTTTCGCCTCAGTCCCTCAAGCTTCTATAATATGAGACGGCCGATTTTTATTTTTTTTATCAGTGAAAGTTATCATCTTTACTCGCGGAAAAAATAGAAAAAAATAAACTAACCAGTCAGATCTGAACACGTGTTCAGCTGTCCCGCGAGAATGCATCCTAATAAACAGAGATCAACTGCGCAGTTTCCACTTGCCATTTTTCCTTTTGTCTTTCCAGTTAGCGGCGCAAAACGGCGTCGTGCCAAGGAGGATGTCGGCGCGGCCAAGCGGAAGTTGTAGAGAAAAGCCGGCAGGTTGGACGAAAAGGAAACGAGTATCTCTCCTCGCTGATCCTTAGATGGGGATGTAGGCCGTTCAAGGAGACTCAAAGAAACAGCACATATAACTTTTAACCGTCAGATTTCGAGTTTGTCATGTTTTTTTTCGCATCCATTTCGTATAAATAAGGCTTAAATATATTATTGTTTTTTAAAGTACTTTGTTTGTACCGATTTGTTCTCTAAAATGTTTTTTGAGATGATTTATTCTAAAAATTTAAAATATTATCGTATTTGTTTAAATATTCAATTCCATTAAAAATATCAAAGGTAAATTATATATTTAATAATTCAATTATCTTTATGATTTTATTTTAGATAGCAAAACATATCAAAAAGTAATTTAAGAGATAACTCGAACATATTTTAAGAGACAATGATACATTTAAACATAAGTCTACAATTTCAATTTCTTTCCCGTTTAAGAAACACACCCCGTGGGTCATGACATATGAAGATCACATACCCAATATTGATCTACTGCTGAATTATGGAGTGCCTGAATCCAACATGGTCAAACCCCTACATTCACTGTCTACAACATCCTTGGACCGGTGTTAAAATGACGTGGAGAAAGTGAAGGAATTGGGGTTCAATCTTATCCCGTGAGGATCCTTTCTTCTTCTTCTTTTTCTTTTTATTTTTATGAGTAAATCCATAGAAAACTACATGTTTATAAGAAATATGGTTTCTTTGTTTATGACATTGTGAAAGGAGAAAATAGTGAAAATAATAGTTTTTCTCGCGAAGGAAATGAGATTCAAGTCTTTAGTTATTGTTAGGCACAATGTTTGGAGAAAAGCATTGGTCTCAGGGATTAACTTGTTTCGGATTTGTTTGGTTAACAATGAACTGAACTTGTGCGCTGATAAGTGCACTTAACGAAACTACTCTGATTTATTGTTGAAAGGAAACCCATTGTAACTAGGTTCTGAGTATCGTGACAAATTAAAAATGGAATGGCGAATAAAATCACCCAAAAAATAAAAAAATATCAAACATGTATCGTTTTCTCAAATTTTACCAAACTAACACCTTTCTAACAAGGAGAGGGGGAGAGGTGCTTTTTATGAAACGCACCATCCATACTTGTCGAGATTATGTGTTGCAGAATGAGCCTTCCATGGGTTTTTGCTCCGTTGACACCACAGTGGAAGCAGAAAACACGCCTTTGAAGGCGCATTTCGTGGCACACGACTTTTAATTCCAGAAACAAGTTTAAGATTTCTCGTTTAGGGTTTTTTGGGTTAGAGTGATTTAGGGTTAGGATTTTTATGTTAGAATAGTTTAGGGTTATGGTTTTTATGTTATAAAGGTTTAGGGGTCTTAAAGTGGTTTAAGGTTATTTGTTTAAATGGTTTAGAGTTAGATTAAAATTAAATTATTGATTGTAAAACTTTAAACTAAAAATAATGAATCTTAAACATTAGATTGCAATATATATATATATATATAAAAGAAAACGACATCCTGTAAAATAAACAAGCTCAAATCACATTAATTGAAATTAAAAGGAAATGAAATTACATAAATTGAAATATTAGAAAATATAATTGCATGAGTGGTGGTCAACGATTAAGTGATGATAAAAAAGATATTGACATTTTTCCTATTGTGGCCTAGATTTCTGCAATGCCCACATCTTTTGTTTTCTTTTGACATATCTCGAATATCCATATCACAATGAATTCGAGTGGATTTTTGATGACCTGGCTCCATTAATAAGAACATATTTAGTATAATTGTAAGCCAAGTATGAATCTCATTTAGGTCTTTTTCATTACTTATGGGGGAAACTCAAATTCATATATCTTGAATACTTGTGAAAGTTGGTCTACAAGATCCACATAACGTTTATAGTCCAAATGGGAATGTGAGCAAGCTGTTATGATATGGGAGTATGGATACTTCAGAGCTTGAAAAAGCCCACAGTCACACCGCCTTTCTTGTAGATTAACTTTGAAAGAGTTAGATTCAATCCCTTGAAGAAGTCGTTGTATTTCTGTTACACAAAATAATTCACGATTGCAAGAAAAACTTGTTACCAACATTCTATTTGATGCTGTAACTTTTTCCTGTAGATCTACTACTAATCTTGGGTAATAAACATGGTCGTTTTGCATCCAAGTAAGAGTTTGTCCAACGAGCTTGGCAAAAAGCTTACCCAAACAAAAATATGTCGTTTTAACAAAAGTAGTTACTGGTAAATGACGCGCCCCCGTTAAGGTTAAATTTATAGCCTCAACTAAGTTGGTTGTTATATGCCAATATTGATATCCACCATCGTATATATTTGTCAACATTTCTTTGTTGATGGATCTGACATAATTGTATTCATCCTCATTTTTTTCTTGCAACTCTTGAAGCATAAACTCAAACCTTTGAGGCAAGAGTTCGTAACCTAAGTCATATGTACTAGTTAGTGTGATCTAGAAATATATAAAATAAAAATGATTGAGAAACGAAATTGAAAAAAATAATATAACCATGCGTATAATTAATTGGAGTTCATCATTCTTCTTATATTTTTCATGATAATTTACAACAATATGTCAGATACATAGACGATATTGGACATGTGGGGGTTTTCATATTAGACCCAAAGAGTCCATTGTTGCTTTGATCCCAACTCCTCGGTCTGAAATAATGCAAATGTGTTCCTTGGTGATAACATGTAATCGTAGAATTTTTTGGAAAAAACTCGACTTTGTATCTCATTCATCAAGGAGAAAATCAACAAGTAGAATGTTACGATTACTGTCTTAGACAATTGCTAATAATAAAATTTTCTTGTATTTTCATACAAGAATGTACCATCAATTTGGACAACGGGTTTCTAGTATTTCACTGTATTAATACATTGTGGCTAAGTCCAAAAAAACACGATAGAGTTGGCATCAATCTTAAGCACTCGATCATTCTGGTATGCATGACAAGTTTCGAACTCAATCAGGATTAAGTCTTTTTATTACTTTAAACCAACTGTGTAGCTCGTTGTAAGATAAATCCCACTCATTGTATAGTTGTAACATAAATCCCACTCGTTATGTAGTTTTATAATGACATTATGTTTTGCCTTACTTGCTTTTCTGTAGAACATGGTGTACCCAAATTGAGATTGTATAGAAAAAATGAGCACTACAATAGCTATGTGAGAGCTTGTTTTGGCTATGGGCATGATTGCTTGGAAAATAATATTGTTGTTCAAGTTTGGATGATCCTGGTTGATCCCTCTTGAACAACATGTATGAGGACCATTGTATCTTGTTAGTTCATATATGTTGTTCTTCATTTTCCTCTTAAAACAAACCATCTAGTTTCATCTGTTATCACGTTGGACACGGTGGCATATATACTTTTGGGTGGTGGATCGATTAACTTTAGAGTGAACTGAATTATGAATATAGTAATTCTTAATTACAAACATTGCTTTTACTTTGGATGGGAACTTCATTCCGATATATAACTCACCGTCATTGACTGATGAGTTAAATTCGTAGTCCCCAACATTAGATATATCTGGAAATTCTGGCTCGTACATTGTGTCATAGTTAACTTCATACATGTGTGCTGGAGGTTCATATTGTATAATATTAATGGGAAATTCTTCTACATCATCATCAGGATCCATGTTGAATTGCGGTGATTTGGGTTCAACGAATAATCCAGTCTCAACACTATTTTCTCCTGGCTCACGAAGAGGTTCATCTGGTGGTTATAAGGGATCTTATGTGATTCCGATGTTCAGGTCAAACAAGTTCGCAGATGACTATTGTATCGAAGGCATCTCTATATTAAGGTCGAAGAAGTTGGAAAATGAATGCCTCTCCCTTGAAATCGAAAGCATAATGTGATATGAATATTGAACATATTACAATATCGAATGCATCTCCATATTATGGTCAAAAAAGTTAATAGATGAATGTCTTCCCCTAGAACTTGAAGGGATGTCACTAGATGGATTGTTCGTAGAGCTACATCGCCAGAGATCATAACTAGTTGCTAATGAATATCTCTCTATTGAACTTGATGGAATGCTACTATGAGGTAGATTTTTATTATTAATGATGTGAAATCATTACATATTGTTTGAGTTGGGATGTCAACTTGATCAACTAGATTAGTCAACCCGTAGTGAGAGTATAATGACATACTGTTGAGTTAATCGATTGACGGAATCGGCCAAGAGGGGGTGAATTGGCAATTAAAATTTTGGTGGAAGCTTTTGCAGAAAATTGAAAGTAATTGCACAGCGATTTAAAGTGGTTCGACTTTATCAACCAAAGTCTACGTCCACTACCTTAGCTATCCACACTAAGGATTTTCCAACAAATTCACTAATTTGTTCTTTCTTTTGAGGACAAAGAGTAACCTTACAGCTCCCTCAAGAATTATACCCCAAATTCTTGAGCACACTCTTTTTCAAAGAGAAATACACAAATTTGCAAACTTACAAGGAAAACCTCACAAGGTAAGATGTTTGCACAATTCTAGAACAAGAAAAGAACACTCACAAATAATTACAAATGAGAACAAATGGTGTTCTTTGAAAGGAAAATGAATATTGAAAGGAAAATTGGCTTGATTTGCACAAACTTGGTGTTTGATGCTTTCTCTCTTGTTTCTCTATGATTTCTTATTGATCAAAGGCTTCAGAACTTGTTTAAATACACCTTGAATCACTTCTGAAAGTTGGGGATGATTAGTGAAGATCATATAGCCGTTTTCGTGTGAAAAAAATTAATAAAACAGCTTGGAGCGTGGGGGGAATCGGTACCCC